TCTGAGGATCCCCGGCCTCTACACCAAGCGTGTGCTGCACAAGTTTGGCATATTCCTGAAAAGGCTTTCCGTCATGGTCGGTAGCACATTCTCCCGAGAACTCAGAGGAAAGGCCGCGGATAAACCAGAAAATCCGATCAACCTCCCTTAAGTCAGGAATGGGTGCTATGAGAGCCTCGAAACGACTATGGTACGCGGCTACCGTTTCGTTTGCCCGCATCTGATGCTGCCCAGCAGCAAGCTTTTCTAGCGCTTCTAGTTCGCGCGTTTGAATCTGCGGGGCAAAACGAATTAATAGCGCATCCAAAAGTTGCTCTGAAGTATATTGCAACCGCGCGTTAGTCCAGTCATCATGCCAGGTTTTCGCGGCGCCTTCAAGAGCGTTAGCTAAAAATAAGCAACGGATACTGTCATGATTTCCGCCCCGCACGAAATCAAAATACTTCCGGACATCACGGACGAAGGCGCGGACTCGTGGCGCAACTTCCCGCGATAATTCACTAAGCTTAATCTCCGCAGGAATATTGAGCCTAGGTACCGGAATAGTGATTCTGATCACCTCATCGCTGGCCCCAGCGGGCAAGCCGCGCTCAGTAGCGGCGTTGTTCTCTCCATCGCCGGCGGTCGTCCCGGTGGCGCGACCCGCGATGTGTTCCACTGCAGGAATCAGAACATCGGATGAGGGATTATTCATATTTATTAATTGGTTACTGTTATTCCGGGCAATAGGCGGCGGCGGGACAGTTCCATTGGTCATATTGATAGTGGAGGGCAATCCCCAACGACTTCGCCTAGACTGCTCCATTTCCACTATCCTGACCCAGATCAGGCAGACCGCGTACCCAAGTAAAGCGAACTGTCAATTTTTCTGGAAGTCTGTTCTAGCACCGAACGGGTGCTACGAAGCTCTTGACAGAGCCTCCGGCAAAGGGCAGGGACCGCCGAAGGAACTGGCGGTTCGGAGCCTGCAGCAGTCTTACCGCTATTAACCCAAAATCCTAGAAAATGTCAGCAAACAGATTTGCTAAAGTAGTTTACAGACCGGCGGCAGCGACTTCGCGGACAGCATCGCCAAGAGCGTCGACGATTGTAGCCAAAGGTCCGGTGACGTCGTCGACCTCCATCCACGCGCCGGTAGAAGTGGGGATCTTGATGGCAAAAGGGGGATCTTGAAAATTTCGGAAATGCGAGAGGCCCCGGGAGGAACCGTCTCGATACCAGACTTGTTGTATCTTACTAAACCACAACTGGATGGTGGCGTCGGAAGACACCGATTTGGAAGAGTTTCACCCGCTTAAATAGCGGAGGATGCGGCCATCCCATGAATCGTACAGCCAATTCCGAAATGGCGCGGTCCAGTCCGGAATGGCGTACCGTTGATCCATGCTTCCAATCGATGACGGGGCTCCGCGAGCCAGGGACCAGCGTCCCAGTCGTAGCCTGTGCTACGACCCCCGCCCATACTTCTGCAAGTATGGACTTCCGCCTGAGGCGGCGTTTACTTGTTGGCATCCATGACAGCTTCCCGCTCGCCGTCTGACCCAGAGGTCGGAGCCATAAAGATCTGACAGAAAAGCGGCAAAATAGGCAGTTGGAATTCAGTTAGTTCCAGCGAACTTGTCCAGTAACCGCGCCAAGCGAGAAAGGAAAAATTAGACAGAAAATGTATCAGTTTGGACCCAGATTTAAGAAGCGGAATACAACACAAACATTCGTCCAACTATCAACATTCGGCCAACAATCCCTCTCCCCAACCCCCGGGCAATCCCTCTCCCCAACCCCCGGGCAATCCCTTTCCCCAACCCCCGGGCAATCCCTTTCCCCAACCCTCGGGCAATCCCTTTCCCCAACCCCCGGGCAATCCCTTTCCCCAACCCTCGGGCAATCCCTTTCCCCAACCCCCGGGCAATCCCTTTCCCCAACCCCCGGGCAATCCCTTTCCCCAACCCTCGGGCAATCCCTTTCCCCAACCCCCGGGCAATCCCTTTCCCCAACCCCCGGGCAATCCCTTTCCCCAACCCTCGGGCAATCCCTTTCCCCAACCCTCATGAGCCTACCGTTGCTGAGCTTTGGGGCGATGGCAATCAGCTTCTGCCGCAGCCACGCCCAGTACCGGGTGATGTCGCCAAGGGTGGTCTTCTCCCGCTGCACCGCCATGATCACACTTGCAAAGTAACCAAGGAGCATGACCACGGTCTCCAGGTTGAACCACCACACCCGGTCCTCGACAATGGCCTTCACCTCCGGCCCAGTTTTGGAGGCCGTGAGGAGGGTGGGGTTGCTGCGGTTGACATCGATAATGGGGTGCTCGTTGCGCAGGACAGACTCAGCGCACGAGTGCACGGATGTGAACCGTGTCTTGTTGGACGTCTCCAGCCCCCGAGTCACGTCCATCTTGGCGGCCGCAGCCCGGAGCAGGGCCAGGGTCTGGTCCGAAGCCTTAAAGAAGGTGACAACACGCTGGGCCTTTGACAGAATGTCCTTGAACCAATCGTGAGCGGCGATGGAACCCATGGCCAGGTAAAACGCGTGCATGAAGCACCTGTCATGTGGAACGGTCACAGTTGCCTTCCTTAGACAATGACAATGATATCGGTAAGGTTGCAGCCAAGGCGACTCGGCTGTGCATTTGAA